GCCTGAAAACCATCAAGGCAAGTGTTGGGACCCCTCAGAGCAAACTCCCTTCCAAGCCTAAGACTCAAGGGGAATACATGTGGTCTGGCTGGTGACCAAGTTAGTCACTGATAAGGGAAGAGGGGAAAAAACAGCAATAAAGTTGCGAGCTGAGCCTGACCACATTCAATAGACCCCTATGACCCAGGTGGAGACCTGGATGGCCAGCAGTATGGCAAGACCCGGGGACTCCTGGACCCAGAGGCAGTGACACAGAGTGGAGAGTGAAGCATCCAGCTGGTATCAAGTGAGGGGAGATGCACAAGAACACCCATACTTGCAGGAAGTACCCACTTGACCTGGCTTCGTTGGCTGGATGATCAGAACTCGACTAGAAGAAAGAAGAGGGGGAAAAAAGAGTAACCTGCTATAATTTGATGAACTTTACCTATACTTATGGATGTAGTATCTCAAAAAAACGAAAAATCTGTATAGCAAGGATCACTCCCATCCCCTTGGTACACAGGGCTGACAGAGATGGGCAACATAAATATTGGCTACCCAAAATGGGGGGGGAGGGGGTCATAAAGGCAAGAAGTGACTGGCTTACAAGTTTTCAAGAGGGAGCCTAGTTCCATACTGGATGGGGGAAGGTACAATCACCACTGAATGATTTCTAATCCATTGGGACTGGGCTCGCAAAAGGAAATGGGGATAAGACTCTTGTGGTACAATGGTGAATAATCGCCACCAGGTCTGACTGTGAGGTTAGGAAATGTAGAGGGAGATGTTTTTTGACAAAAGGAGAGTGATTGATTTTGCAGCCTAGGAGTAGAGGTCCCTGGGGCCATCAAGTGAGAAGAGTGGAGAGTGGGACCCTACCCAAAGAGGCAGTGATGCCAAGGATGGAGACAGAGATGATGTGGACAGATGGAGTGGCTTGGGACACTGGACTCAGGGTGGGAGAGGGGCTGTGTGCTGGGGACTGGGCCTGTGTGGTGTACCCTCTGGGGTTATATGATGATACATGGAGGGGATTGTAATCATTGCAATGAAACGAAATACTATAGGATGAGTGTAAAGCTGATGTCCTCCATGTAAACCTCACAATAAAAACTTAAAAGTCATTTGCAGATTTACACAATGCAGTATGTTTTTTTTTTTGACTGCTACTTCCATAGACATTGTTGATCCAAATATAATGAAATCATTATCAACTAATTTTTTTTCTCGTTATGTTTATTGGTCCAGTTGTGAAGATTTTCATTGTCTTCATGTTCAGACATTAATCCATACTGCAGTCTGTACTCTTTGGCCTTCATCGAAAGTGCTTCATTTTCTGCAAGCTAATTGTGTCATCTGCAGATCTTTGTTAGTCTTCCTCCAATCCTGATGTGTTGTTCTTCATATTTTGTTGAAAAATGGGCATTTAGAATATTATAATGTGGAACTCTGAAAATTATATTCCACCTCCTCCTCATGATTTATTTTTTATTTGTAGCTTGCTATGGGTTGTAACTGGTGACTTTTTCTAAATTATTTTTGTAAAGTCTGTATTTTGTCATTTGTGATCTCTGAAGTCTGTTTAGCTTATATTCATCTGGTGTTTGTCCTGACAAATTTCCTAGAATGCCAAACCAAACCAATCCAAATGAATACAACAAAAAACATCATCCCTTTCATCTTTCCTGATTGGCTATGTTGGGCATTTGTTCAGCTCTTGACCAGACTGTCTACAGCTACCTTAACCTTCAGTTGCTGCTTTCACTCAGCCAACAGATCAACCAGATTATAGATTAGGGTTTTCTCAGGTCTTTTCTGAGCATGTGTCCTGCTATGGACATGTACATGGCTTTCTGAATTCTCTTGTACACATGCAGTTTTGAATGCTCTAATTTCTCACAGAAACTTTCCCCATCTTTTCATCCCAGGCTTTCAGTGTTGTATTGTTTTCCTCAACAGTGATCTTTTCCTGAAGTCCTGTTGTGGCACTGTAGGATAAGCCTGGACCACAAGGTCGGCGGTTCAAATCCACCAGCTGCTCCTCGGAAACCCTATACAGGACCACTAGTTGGAACCACTCCAATGGCCCTAACCAGTCAACATCTTTTTCCTTATGCAGGAGCAGATTGTTCATTTCCCTTACAGTGTTTTCAAGGAATGTCTGTTGCTGTTTTGTCTGCCAAGTTAGATGAAACAAAGTAAGTACGATCAGTCCTTCAGGTAGCCCAGACAGGAAGGCACAAGTCCAGTCAATACTCTGAGAATAAGGTCTGCTCTGCTTTCTTTGGGAACAGAGATCATGGCTTCTCACTGGGTACATGGATTGCCATCTCAAGACCACTGATGAATTGGTGAGGGGGATAAGGCAAAGACATAAAAATGTACCCAAAATTTTCTCCCATTTTAAAGTTGTCTTTTGCTTGATTCAATGTACACAGCTGTAAACCTTTAAATATTTTTCAGAGTTCTAAGAAAGCTGATAACAGTTTTTCCTTGATTGTTTGATATTGCTATGAAGTCATGGTCCCCTGAAGCTACTACACTTCATCATTTTCACTGAATTCACTGTTTCTGGATCATACTTTTTTTATTGATCAAATTTTACAATTAGAAAAAAATCTTAAAGAAGGACTAATGTATGACATCTAATACTGTTGCCTGAAATTATTATTTAGTCTATTCAAGACTCAATCTTATATTTTAGTTTTATACCTGATATTTTTATTTTTCAAGGATTCTTTCTTACTGTATGCTGAGTATAGTAACTGATAAGTGCCCTTGAATCAGTTCCAATTTATAGTGGCCCAGCACAAGGTTTACCAAGGAGCAGCTGGTGGGTTTGAATCACAGACCTTGTGGTTAGCAGTCCAGTGCCTATCCTACAGTGTCACAACAGGAATGTTTAGTAATAGTAGTCAAAATTTATTGAAAACTTATATATGAGCCAGGACTCTAGTAAACTGTATGTCTATGATCTCATTAATTAAAGTAATAATTAATTTAGCATATGTTTATGTGATGCCATATATAAAAACTTAGTAACTGTTTTCAGTGAGTTCTGTTTGTAGTATCTTTTTTACTACAGTGTACTGTTTTACTAGCCCTACTACCAAAGATGTATACATCCTAAGCAATTATAATCATCAGACGGGAAAAATTAGTAAACCTCAAGGAAAAGACTGAAGAATCTGTAATAAATAGTATAAGCTAGATGAAAGCCTTGAACCAAAGTACATCATTCTAGGGGAGAGAAAGGAATATTCACAATACCGAAGGTAGAAAAATTTATTGCTACTTGCAATGACATGATCCAGATGAATCAGCCAAGAGAAAAAACAGTCATTAAATTATATTGTTATTTGACCACGTTTTTTTGAAGATTTCTTTACTAATAGGCACTTTTGCAATTAATTAATATTTTGGTATCACTATTTAGATATATTTAAAGACCTATACAATAATTCATCGTAAATAATAATACATATTACATAATATAAACTAATGGATTACATTTTTTTCTTTGAGTTCATATAGTGTTCCAATTCTACCTTCACCATGTTGTTAAGTGCCATTGAATTGGTTCCAACTCAGAGCAACCCTGTATAGGGTTGCTGAGAAACAGCTGGTGAGTTTGAACCAATTATATAACATATATTAATTGATGGATTAAAATTTTTTATTAGAGTTCATATAATGTTCCAGTTCTCCCGTCACCATATTTTATGAAAACTCAGTTGTATATGCCTGTTGTGTTTCATTTGCCAAAACAAGCTCAATAGTTAAAATTAGCTTCACGTCACTTGTGTCCATTCAGGATACAGAAACCCCTGCACAAAACTAGCAACAGAATATATCTTACTGAAGCACTTGCTAATTTGGTTCTAAAACATTATTCCTACTAGAGAACATTTATTTAAAATATACAGCCACTTGGCCCCTAGTACTTCTGTAAGCTTCTTTAATAACCCACAGAAAATCATCAAAAAAGGTAAAAAAAAGACCCTCCAGCTATTATTTCTTAAGAAGTCAGGCTGCTAATCTCAAGGTCAGCAGTTTAAAACTACCAGTGGTTCTGCAGGAGAAAGATGAGGCTTTCTGCTCCTATAAAGATTTATAGCCTTGGAAACCCTATACAGGGTCACTATGACTCCACAGTACACCACCACCACCACCACCAGGGGTTAAAAGGGAGCACAGTAGTTCCATACAATAAGCACAAGGTCTGTGGTTTGAGCCCGTCAGCTGCTCCATGGGAATAAGATGAGGCTCTCTACTCCTGTGAAGATTTAAAGCCTTGGGAATCCTATTCAGGGTTGCTATGAGTCAGAAACGACTCAACGCCATTTAACATTGTGCAGTCAGAAAACTTTCTGCAAAGGACTGGACAGTAAATACTTTAGACTTCACAAACAATAAAAGCTCTGTTGGATCTATTCAACTATGCTGTTATGGTACAAAAGAGCTACCTAAGAAACCCACTGTCATCAAATCACTTTGGACATCGAGTCCATTTTGGTAGAAATGCTTCATTAAGGGTTCTAAGACTGGAACAGACAGCTGTGGAGTGGCTGGTGGATTCAGACCACTAACCTTGAGATGAGTAGCCCAACGTGGAACCCACTATGCCGTGGGGCTCCTTACAAAGATGTGGCCAGGTTTAAACTGTTGCCATAGCTTGCAAATCCCGGCTTTAAAGCATCAAAATTAAACCAGTTCATATAAAATAACCAGCACAATAATAGCTTAGGGCCTAAAGGGGAGAAATAAAATTTTTATCATTCAGAGTCCTTTAGGAAAAAGAACAGGCTAATTGCCTGAAAAGTATTCTCTAGTGTAAATATATTTACAGTTTTATTATTTTACCCTGAGATATTTATTAAATGAGGGTAATGTGGAGTCATACACATCAAAGTCTTTGGGGAGATACTGTTCTAGTATAAAGTAACATTGATTTCTAGCATTATAAAAACCCTAGCTCCCAGATAATGATGATGCATGGCTAACTAAATAAGAGCCTATAACAGGCCTCCAAACACTGAGTGCTAGAGGGCAAGAAGTTCTCCCTGGCAGTGATTGCAGCAATTGAAAGTTATATTTTCATATTTAGTATAGGGATGAAACCGTCCCATGTTTTTCTTTGTAGCAAGTAAAGTAGTTGGTGACGACTCAGAAAATGGGTTACCAGATGAGTTTTCTGCACAGGCAACAGGATCCAAAATGCGTAGAATCTAAGAAAAAGAAAAGTTAAAATCAGATGTTAATGTTTTACCACTACAGACTGTTAGACCACTGTAAACATTACCTTTAGTGTGGGTGTCATTCATATGGTCTTTGAAAAGTTTGTGGAAAAATTTCATTATCTTTTAAAATTCCATTTTCCACTGTGTGTATATACATATAAAACAATGTATTGCATTAGGCAAATCTGCTACCCAAGAGCTCTTTAAAGTGTTCAGAAGTAGATATATCAGTTTGAAGACTAAGGTATGCCAGATCCAAGCCATAGTATTTTCAGTAGCTTCACATACATGTGAGAGTTGGGAATTGATGCATTTTAAGTATGATGTCGGAGAAGAATATTCAAAGTGCTATGGACTGCCAGAAGAACAAACAAATCTGTCTTGGAAGAAGTACAAGAATGCTTCTTAGAAGCCAGGATGGCAAGACTTCATCTCTCATATTTCAGACACGTTATCTGGAGGAATCAGTCCCTAGAGAAGAACATCATGCTTAATAAAGTGGCAAGTCAGTGAAAAAGAGGAAGACCCCCAATAAGAAGGACTGACATAGTGGCGGCAGCAATGGTCTCAAATGTAACAACTCTGAGGATGGCTGGTGCATGACCGGGTGTGTTTCGTTCTGTGTACATAGGGTTGCTATGACTGTGATCTGTCATATGACAGATATAATCTGTCATATGACGGTGCCTAACAATAATATGTACGTGTGCATACATATATGTTGTTAAGTGTCGCAATTAGTTTTAACTCATAGCAACCTTGTATAGGGTTTCCAAGGAGAAGCTCGTAAGTTTGAACTGCTGACTTTAGGGTCCAAACTAACCTTGTGGTCCAGTGCTTATCCTACACTGCCATACAGGACTTGTGTGTGTGTGTATATGTATACACACATATATATGTCATTAAGTGCCACTGAGTTGGTTCCCACTCATAGGGACCTATATACGGTTTCCAAGGGGAACACTTGGTGGATTTGAACCACCTACCTTGCAGTTCAAAGCGACATTGCAGCTGAGTTCTTTTCCTACAGCCCCACACCAGGACTCCACATATATAACAACATATGTTGTTGTTAAGTGTAGTCAAGTTGGTTCTGACCCATAGGAACCCTGAACAGGGTTTCTGAGGCTGTAAATCTTTATGGGAGCAGAAAGCCTCATCTTTCTCCCGCAGAGTAGCTGGCAGTTTCGAACTGCTGACCTTGCAGTTCACAGTCCAATTAGTAAACACTATGCTACCAGAGCTCCTTATAACAAAATATATATATATGTTGTTAAGTTCCATCAAGTTGTTTCCTACTCATAGAAACCTAATATAGGGGTTCTGAGGAGCAGCTGGTGAGTTTAAACCACCGACCTTGTAGTTTCAAACTAATCTTATGGTCCAGTGCTTATCTTATAGCGCAACACCTGTATGTATATAGGAGCACACTGGCTTTATAGGCTAAGCACTGGACTGAGAACCAAAGGTTTGGCAGTTCAAGCCTACCAACTGCTCCAAGGGAGAAAGATGAGGATTTTTGCTTCTGAAAAAATTTACAACCTCCGAGAACAAACAAGATGGCAGATCGGGTGGAAGTGGAGTAAAGGAGCTCTGTCAGTAACAACACAGAATACCCGACCAAGCAGACTCAGGGGATGGTCCCAGAACTCTGAACCACATATAAAGGAATATTTAGAAGGTTGGAAGGCTCACAGTTGGGGGAATTT